CACATTATGGCACTGCAGACTGCATGCTGCATAGCGGCCCTGCCTGCATAGTCCCCAGAAAGGGTTTGCAAGAGGTGTTTCCACTGAGGTAACACAGGACTATATTTAATGATGCTAAGAATGCACCCACACCTGTTAATATTTTACACGACACACCTTCAGAGTGATCTGTCTTTGGTCTGGGCTAAGAATGGTTTTCGTTATGTGACAATGACAGTGCTCAGCACCACCTCTTCCCCACCTGCACCATCTCTCTCTGTCGCCCAAAAGCTAGTAAAAATCTAACCCAAAGAAAAGACAAACAATCCCCCAAAGACGTGGTCTGCACAGTGGCCTTGACAAAAAAGCATGAACCAAAGGGAGAAAGGAAACAAGTAAACAGTGGAGAGATGACCTTCCCCCATGACACCAGTGATAGTTTCAGAGTCAGTATTGCCTTCTGTATCTATACAAGCCATGCAAGCAGAGGACGGGAACAACACAGAAAAAAAGGGGCACACTGGGATCTGCTGTCACCGTGGCAGCACAGGCACAGCAAGCCATCACCAGAAACACCTTCACAGCCAGCTTAGTTTTCCTTCTTTCAACAACAGTCAGCGAGATTTCTGTTTGCAGATTGTTTGTCAGTTAGTCACTGTGCAGGAAAGAAAAAAAATCTCCCTTTATTCCTTCACAGATGTTGTGCTGTAACAGCTTTTACACTGCTTGAGGTCCATGGGAGCCAACTGATGGGGGAGAAGTCCCTCCACACCCTTTGCCCTAACCACTCCTCTGAAAAGCCTGAAGCCAAGATCAAATCAGTCCTGTGTGCCTGTCTGGAGTCACAACTGATCTGCAGCTATTCTTTGTGCAACGCCAGGGCAGGTCTGGCTTCATCTTCAACCACTCGGTAGTTAAGGCAAGAACTAGCTGGGGACAGCATCCCCCATGGGCCTTGCTGTTCTCAGACTGAAAACCCCACCTCCAGGCACCAAGGACCTCTCTGGCCCTAAAATGGACTCCTCCCGTTGCCCCTGTGCAGCAGCCCCCAGGACACCAAGCCCTCTCCTCCCCTCGGCCCCTCTCTGCTACTGTCAGGTGTGGGGATGATGCCACTTGCAGGGAGCCGAGCAGCTGGAGGGCAACGGAGACTCCCTGACCCTCTTGGGACACTGTGGCCACTGTCCTGTTGAAGGGACCCCCAGGTCTGGCAGGAGGAGGGGGCTGGAGCCCTGGGCACCCAAGGGGAGATGGAAAGCAGGCCCAGTGCCCAAGGGGCAGCCTTTCTCTCTGGCAAGCAAAATGGCCCCCTCGCAATGGGGCCTTCAGGGCCTCATAGGCCACATCTGAGCCACAGCAGCTTTTGCTGGTGATATCACCAGCCTTCCATTACATAGGCAGGCAGCCCTGCGGCTGGCCCACAGCTTGCTGAGCAGCTAGTGATTCTGACACGGAGCAGACTTGGTAAAGGAGGAGCCAGGGAAGCAAGGGGAGTGCCCACATTGAGTGGCATGAGGGAGAAGAGGTTTGTGGAACCACTGAGGATGCCTCCACTTTGCAAAAAACGAAGCAGGCTGACGGGAGCAGCAACACTTATGGCAGGCGAGTCAAGCCCATGAAGGTCAACCCACCACAGAATGGCGATGAGCTGGATCCACCTCCCTCAGG